TTTTTATGTAAAATATTATTTTAATACTTAGCTGCAGTTTGTACATGCTCTTGGTTTATTTTTAACTAACAGAATTTAAATATTAAAACAATAATATTAATAATAATAACTTACCTCTGATTATTATAATTATTTATTTGAACGTCATTTGTTCACCACGAGTCACGATTTATCAAAAACGTAAGAAGTGTTTACCGCAGATCAACATAATTTTTCTGATTGTTCGTCCGTTGCTGTTATTTATTTAGTTTTTATTTTAAACTTAAGAAATTTAAAAAAAAAAATCTCTAAAAGTCCTGTTCAATACGACTTAGTGCTTATAAATAATAACGAAAAAATCATGTATACACAACATTAATTTCAGATTTAAATATCAGGCGTAGATATCTTATTTTTTTTTTTTTTTTTAATGAATTATCAATTGGTAACAATAACATAATATACGGCGATCCTGAGTTAAGTGTAAGCTCTGACAACACGAGATAATATGCAAATATATACATATATAGGTCCTGATGGTTGTACGCGTAGCTTTATTTCTATTCGTCCTACGGGATGGTTTTAACAGGCGTATGGTCGGATAATAGTACGGATACAAAGCCCAAGTGATAAAAAACCAACATTTTATACGCGTTTCTTGTGAACGACTTTGTACGTTTAAACACGTGTATTATACATACATACAAGTACTAGAGTGCTCGAATAAATTTGAAGCGCGTTGGGTGAGTACGTCCTGCTCGCGTGAATAAGAATCGCCAGAAACGATTACACAATCAACAAAGATGACGACCTACGGTAAGCATTTCAAGTCTATGAATACATATATTATTATAATATGTACGTATTCACAGGAAACTGTTCTTAATATTATTTTACGCGCACGCTTTTAAACGTGTTATTTATTTAACGTATGGCATAAAAAAAACTCCATTATAGTACATAAACGATACACTTTAAAATATCAACAACGGAACAAAAACAAAATCAGATATAAAAAAAGTAGAGAAATATTTGAGATGTACGACAAATAGTAATAGTTAATAAATCTAGTACAAATAATTAAAAAATATTAAATGTATAAATGACTATTATATAATTTAATAAATTTGGTATCCGAGCTTGAGATCTGAAGTTTCTAGCCAGTGGACGAACGGTCGTAAATCTGTAAGACTGTCAATTTTCGGATCTTTATATGAGCTTAATGGGAATTCGAAAACGATACGATTGATTGTTTATTTTTCAGCTCCGCAATCACACTCGGACGAGTTAATTTTAACCTATTTGTATAGAGAATCTCCGCATCTATCACGGAATATGAGTACCCTATTTAATAAGCACCAAATATTCTTATGCAAGTCGAACACTGGGGGCGTATACCGGTTGTCGATTAAATTTAAAAAGTTATCAGCGCTTACTGTTTCTAGCCATTTTTTTCCACTCAAATATCATATTAAAATCGTCGAAAAAAGTTTCTATTTAAACAGGAGGGGGGTGTGTCGCAAGACTTAGATCGTGATTTAGCTTCGTCCAGTTTGTAACCGTGGATAGTCAGAGTATATTTTAGCCTTATTTTCTTAAGTTTTTTTTTTTTTTATGATGACATTTTACTTTCGTAGTGATTAAGGAATAAACGCAATTAAAACTGAAAGCCGGCCAATGGGATCGATTTAATTGAGTTTTTTCTATATTCTCTCTCGCTTGACGGTTCTTTCATTTATATCTCATTCCAGCTTCAGTCTACGTCACCATAAACAATTTTCTTGTATACGACAATATCCCATTTCTATACGGTTACGACTCTCCGGTTATTCGTAGAACGGCCACCTGAATAAAATATATCATAGTTAAAGGTTATAAGTATTTATGATCTTTTTAATTATTTTGTAAACTCATCACGCCTTACAATTCAATAGAACTACGCGTTTACAGGTATATTCGCATACGCTATTATTTTCTGACCGTTTACGACCACTTACTGTATAATCTCAAATATTTTACTAACACGAGTGCACTACTTACAAACTAGCGTTAAATAAATAAATATCGTATACCATCTGAGCATTGGAGGCACGTTGCAGATGATAATCATGTAGGTACGTCCGCGTACGCTTTGATGACCCACAGATAATACTGATACGGCTGAAGCAATAGGAACACTTCATAAAATTTACAATAAGTATGGGGTATATATCAACGTTTCTTCTGCACGTATCAGAGTAGGTATATAATAATGGCCGGGCTACTGTGATACAGGCACATCCCTGTTTTCGTTTGTAATTAAAGGACTTCGCCGCTGCAAAAGTTGACGGGTCTGCATCGGATAGAGGTCCGCGCGAATGCGAGCACGTGGCTTTCGAAACTTTCCGAAAATCGTACAAAGGGATAATAAACAACGCAGGTCAAGATGCATCAGTGGGCAATTTAACTCGACGATCATTTGCAAAGACGAATACGCGGAACGGTATTATGAATTCTAATTCGTATAATTCCTTCCGCCTCTCAAAAATATTTTAGTTAATTATATACATTGTCCCGGACGGGTTTTAAATAACGACACTCACCTCTTAATTAAAACAACTGTACGTAATATTGTGTACGGTAGGGGCGACCCTCCCTCCCCATAAGAAAATTTTTCCTTATTCGACTGTCTGAAATATTTTATTTATATTAATTATTGGTTATCCGTTCATTACTACCCGCATATTATGCAAAATTGTTGTGGACGACTCAACAACTGATAAAATAAAGATTAAAGATAATTCTGTCAACAGTTCGACACTCGACAACTGTCGATACACACGCATTACGTGTAAACGTAATACTATATTGATTTTACGAAAATATAATGTCGAAGAGAGAAAATGTCGATATTATAAATGTTTTAAAAAAATAAATGTATAAATATTATCGAAAACAATGATCGAATAACAACTTAGGAAAATAATGATCGAATAAAATCTGAAATATAATAATAATATAATAATCTAATAATTTAATTGACGCTGTGTCTAATTATAGATGATCCCCGAGCGATTATTACCTATAGCTCTAAAATTAAAGTGATAGTGATATCGACTATTATTTAGAATAAATATAAACAGAATAGAATAACTATAAATAGTATAAATATTAAATTATGATATAGAATATACACTATCTTATAATATAGACAGTATACGCTTTATGTGCAATGTACATATTTGTTACTGTCTACGATGACCAACAACTAGCAAGGTTAGTAATTGATTCTTTTTAGTTTTGTTAAGTTAAAGTTAAGTTTTTTAAACATTACCTACTATGTATTTCAATTTATTTTTTTTGAGCAGGCATATGTATAGAATTATTTTTCTTTGGGGGAAATTTGTTTTTACACTCTATGAAAATAAAATTTGTATGAACATATATGTGTAACAAAAGAGGTTTAAACGTCATGGGTTTCCTAAAAAAGGTTGGTAACATTTAAAATTAGGAAGGGAACGCTCCTCATTTTTTGATGAATATAGTCCCACCATAACATTTTCCCCGCTTTAACCACTGCCTTTACCACGTACGTGAAGTTGACCCACCCTTTTTCACGGTTTAACTTGAATCCTATACCAATATTTTGCGAGTTATTTGCGAGAATTTGCGAGTTCATTTTCAAAATTTGCGAGTAAGCTGTTTGCGAATTATAATTAAAAAAGAGAAGGGTGGGCCAACTTCACATAGCCCCTCCAAGTCGCCCTAGAACTTCAAACAGTAGCATAGATACAATTCTTTTCTGGGGGAGGGGGTGTTTAAGAGTAAGTTTTTAAGTGTTCGTAGTATATCTTAAAACGAGATCATATATATTAATATTACATTTAAAATAGTGTTATTATGTCCCGTATTAATGAAAATTATTTTGTTATTCAATTTTTAATATATACCTAATCATAGTAAAATCAAAATATTTTACTATAATATATAAATATTAATAAATAATAATCAAATATCATTAAAAAAAAAATCTGTGAGGGGGGTGGAAACCCTTTACACCCTCCCTGTAACTACGCCACTGACTTAAAAACCGATACCAAACGATGTATCTTTATTTACGAGAATTTGCGAGTTCACCCCTTACCCGCAAATTCTATTTCCCTACCGTGAAGTTAGCCCACCCAAGTCGCCCTAGAATTTCAAAATGGATACCAAACGATGCGTCTTTATTTGCGAGAATTTGCGAGTAAGCCGTTTGCGAATTATAATTAATAAACAAAAGGGTGGGTCAACTTCACGTAGCATCTCCAAGTGGCCCTAGAATTTCAAAATTGTTTAACATTTTTAATTTTATTCAAATTATTTCCAATATTATAATTTTCAGATTATGGAATTAAATTATTATTATGGAATCTTAAAAAATTATTTTTTCTGCTAATTCATTATTACGAAATTAATACATTTTATGTAATTTGTGACAATTAAATAGTTGAACTCTACAAAAGGAAATCTGCTAGATGCAAAAAAATTGAGAACTATCTATAAACAAGTTCAAGATGAATCTTTTGAAAATGAATGTGTTAATTTTCAAATTGTATAGAAATTAACCATCAACCCTCTTAAAACGCTATTAGACATGAGTAAATTTATAAAATAAAAACAATTAGTTACAATTTTTCCATTTGCTGATGTAGCTTCAAGAATGTTCCTTTGTAATTTGGCCTCCAACTGTTCAACTGAATGGTGTTTTTCTACACTCCGTCGAATAAAAAATTATTGAAGATCATCTATGTCTTCAGAAAGACTTAATCATAGATAATAGAAGAATGGATAGGCCAATCATATATTAACAATACAAGGGGTCGCGGTCCGGAATGTGGATGAGAGATAGACTGATTTTATATAGTGCACTCACTTTAGCAAGGGGTTTTATCATTAGTTTTATTTCATAATGATAATAGAAGATATCTATGATGATAACAAATATTTTTATTGTTAACGCATTTTATTTAAAAATTATTTAACATTTTTACAAATTGAAGTATTCCTGATTCTGTACGAATTATCATTTGTTTTCAAGCTATGGTTCGTACTTGCATTGTTTGTCATGTATCCTCTAAAGATAATACAGGCAACGTATCATTTCATTTGTGAGTATTCAGTGGCTGATTTAAGGGGGGGGGGGCCGAAGGGGCCCCCCCCCCCCCCCCCATTGGCATAAGTTAGGTTTTATTATTTTTTATTATTAATTTTTATAATTTTATCTTTTATATTGTTTCGCTCAAACACATTATATTATAATTTAAGAAATATTATTATTACATATATTTTATATTATTATTATATTATCATTATATAAGAAATTCTCCCAAACATATTACTATTACTTTTATTATGCGGGTATAAAGGCATTTCGCCTTAACGCAGACGGCAGACCGGCTATTTTTGCCATGTATCGTTCCTACTGGCCATCGCTATCTTATTTTATTTGTAAGACGATTCTCACTAATCCATTTCTATATTGCTATTATCGTTTTAAAATGTTAGTAATTTTACAGTCGTCGTGTCACTCGTGTGTAATTCGTATTTTGTGCTGTACTCGCCTGTACTGCTGTTGTCCGTAGTGTTTTCGTTTGTAATTTCGTGTTAAATTATTCTGTTTTAAAATGTCACAAAAACGACAAAGTGAAATAAACTTTTTTTTAAAAAAGTTGAAAACAAGTGACAAAAATAATCCATCTCCAAGTGAAGATATAGAAAATGTAAGCGTGTTACCAACAGAGTCAGAGCCAGCTACAATTTCTGATTCATGTGAAGTCGATTCTAACAGTCAATATGATATCGCATTTACTATTGAAGAAAATGCAAATCTAAAAAATTCGAAACGATCCAAATATGCTTTACAAATATTTAAAAGAAACGTGGTCACCTAAACAAAATTATATTTTCCCTGTAAGTATTCATACTTTAATAAAAAAGGTCTTAAAAGAAGCTTTCAAATTGAATGGCTAAATAAGCACAACTGGTTAGCTTATAGTCGTAATAGAGAAGGAGCGTTTTGTAAAGTATGTGTGCTTTCTGGACCAAAGTTTGGTGGGATTGGATGACAAAGGCTTGGGGTCTTAAAATAAATTCCTATGATAAAATACAAAGATGCTTTACACGATTTTAAGATACATATGGAAAAAGAATATCATAAAACAGCAATTGTGCGATCTTTAGGATTTATAAAATGTTTTGAAGGCAAACAAAAAACAATAGAAATTCAACTTGATGACCAACTAAATGAAACTGTCAAACAAAATAAAAAGAAGTTAATTCCTATAATTAAAACAATTATTTTCTGTGGTCGTCATAATATATCTATAAGGGAGCATAGAGACAATGTTAATTTATCAAATCTGATTTCAAATGACCAAGCAAAAAATAATTTTAATATTGGAATATTCAAAGAATTGTTGATGTTCAGAATAGACGCGGGCGATGTAGATGTTCGCAATCACTTAGAATCGGCTCCAAAAAAATGCAACATTTGTTAGTAAAACTATTCAAAATAATTTGATCGATATATGTGGCTTGATTATCACAGACAAATTAATAAAAGAGGTGAATGAATGTAAATTTTTTTCAATTTTATGTGATAAAACTTCTGATTTATCACATATTGAGCAAATAAGTTTATCGATTAGATATGTTGATTTAAAATCATGCTTGATAAAAGAAAATTTTATTTGCTTTGTTCCGGTTTATGAATGTACTGGTGAAAATTTAGCAAATACAATCGTCCAAAAATTAAAAGAAATTGGTTTAAGTTAGGAATTTTTACGAGGGCAGGGATATGATGGTGGAGCAAATATGTCTGGTAAATACCGCGGAGTTCAAGCTAGAATCTTAAATTTGCAACCAAAGGCAATATACACTCATTGTGCATCGCACCGCCTAAATCTAACTTTAATAAAAGCATGTAATGTATTATCTATAAAAAAATTATTTTCTACAGTCAAAGAAGTATCTAACTTTGTGCGTGATTCTCCCAAGAATTGATTTATTTAAAAAAAAAAAAAAATGAAATTTTGCCTTCATCAAAATTAGTTTTGCTAGTAAAGTTGTGTGAAACTAGATGGGTAGAATCTCACGAGGCGATTATTTGGTTTTCCGATATGCTTATACCTATTGTACAATTTTTAGAAGACATGACAGTTAATACGGATGGAAATATACTTTCTAAATTTAACGGACTTCTTCATTCAATATTGACTTTTGAATTTATTTTGGCCTTAGAAGTAGCAGTAGAAATATTGTCTTTGACTTTGCCAATATCACGTAAATTACAAGACCCTGGTTTGGATTTGACTAAATGTATTGAAATCATACAGACTGTATTAGATGTTCTTAAAAACAAAAGACAAAATGCAACATTTAACAACATTTTTAATCGAGCCGTATCAAAAGCCGAAAATTTAAATATTGAAGTTAAAACACCACGAATATGCAAACAACAAATAAATCGATCAAACAACATTACTTCAAGTCCTGAAGAATATTTTAAAATTACGGTATACTTCACAGTTTTGGACAATTTCATAACATCTATTCAATCCATGTTTTTTGACAACCAAAATCCAATATTATTTAAAATTCAACAACTGATACCTTATTATTTATACAATAAATCTGAAGAACATATTATAGAAGGTGTCACATTTTATGAAGCAGATTTGCCTAGATCCATAGACGAATTAAAAGGTAAAAACAATTATTATAATAAATCACTAGGTATTACATTTTTGAAATAAATTATAAATGCATTACTACAATTATTTACAGGTGAAATTGCATTGTGGCAGCTGCATTGGACTCAACAACCAGTAAAAAAGGAAAAAATAAATACAGCAATAGACGCATTCAAAGAAACTGAAAATGGGTATTTTCCAAACATTCGTCAACTTTTACTAATTTTAGCAATATTACCAGTAACAACATCGACAAGTGAGAGGTCTTTCTCAACGCTAAAACGCATAAAAACATACTTGAGAACAACAATGGGGGAAAACCGTTTAAACGGGTTAACTTTGCTTAATATCCATAAGCAAATTGATGTAAAACCTGAAGAAGTGTTAGATATGTTTTCAAAATCTAATCCTAGGAAATTACAATTATCTTTATTGTTATAAATATTTACAATATTATTATAATTTAAATATAATCTTCAACAAATAAAAAAAAAATACACATTTAAAATTATTTTCTATTTGTATGTATTTGTTAAATACTGAAAAAATGTAAGATTTGCATTTTGGACTATGCCCCCCCCCC